ATCCATGCCTCAGCCCTAGGTCCTGAACTTCCAGACCTGCCGTCCAAGGGCTGGGAAGGGACTGCAGTTCTCATAGCCTTCTTCTTTATTTAGGCCATCCTGGAGACTCCAGGTCTACTTAAAGCATCATTAGGTTGACCCTACAGGCAGGCCAGGGCTCAGGAGCATGCTCAGAAGCAGGGCAGGGGCCTGTGCTCCACTTACTCTGTCAGAAGAGCAGAGGCAGGCCCCCACCACCACACCCCCCAGGGTCGAGGCCACACTGCATTTCCTCCCTCACCTAGCCTGTGCCTCCCTGAGGACAAAGTTTCACAGCAGGCTTGGGAGACTCAGATGCAGAGGAGGGGGGACGGAGAGTAAATGGCTGCAGATGTGCAGACTGAGGGCCGGAGTTCGACTCCGAACTCTGCTGCTTACTCATAGATGACAGGGGCCAGCCAGCCACCTCCTTCAAGATCTCCGGAAAAATAAAGGTAATAAAATCTTCCATGCAGACTAGATAGGAAGATGAAACGCAGACATCCTCAGTACCCAGTGAGTGCTCAATATAAATGCTCCTCAGAGGAAGGCTGAGGCGGCAGGGAGCAGACTCTGTGTATGAGGAGCAACACCCTGAGTCCATCAAGGAAGAGGCTAGTGTAGAAAAGGAGATTTATGGCCATTAGGATCAACAGCTCCAGGATCAGGCTTTAGGAGGGGAGGAGGGACCTAGCTTGGAAATACAAGGCAGAGATAGAGGATTCAGGCTGGGGCTCATCACCAGCTTGGTTACTGGGGACGCTGAGTCTCCTCTGGCCTTGGGAACCTGCTTGGATGCTCCTCTGGTAGCCTCCTCCAGGGGCTGTGTGAGACAACCTCAAGCCTCAAAGTCTTTAGCTAGCCTTCTCCTCTCTACCTTATTCCAGACTATGTTTTTTTTTTTTTTCCCCTCTGAAAAGTAGCCTGTCACACTCTACGGCCTCTGAGCTAGGTCACTGATACAGGAAACATTTGATCCTTCCCGGCTCAGCTGACTCCAGCTGAGTCCCAACCATGTGACCACCATGAGAGACAAAGGTGAAACAAGCCTCGTTGCCTCCTGGTCAGAGAGGGAGACGCACAGGGACTGTGGTCATTGTTCAGGTCATCCACTGCTTTCTTTTTAATTTTATGTGTGCGGATGTTTTGCCTCATACATGTCTGCGTGCTGTGTACCTGGTGTGCTAGAGGCCAGAAGAGGGCGTCGGATTCCCTGGAACTGGAGTTACAGGCAGTTGCGAGCTGCCATGTGGGTGCTGGGAATCGAACCTGGGTCCTCTGGAAGAGCAACCAGTGCTCTTAACCCCTGAGCCAGATGTCCGGCCCCAGATGTTGAGAGGAACCATTGAAATAGGTCTGCTCTAGGCTGAGGACTGAAGAAGGTAGAGGCCAGCAAGCCCTGAGTCAGTTGTGTCCAAGCAGGCTGACACGTTCCAAGTAGTAAAACCTGGTTTGCATGTAGTCACTGGGCAGGGTCCTCATAGCCCAGCAGCTGCTGTCACAGAATGAGCAGCCGGGGTCACATGATCCTGCTGTTCCACCACCTCCTGACGGTCTGTCTTGTGAGGTAGTTTTTTGTGAGCATCTATGACGGGTGACCCCACTGACATACAAATGTAGCTAGAGTTTTCCTGCCTGGCCCACAGTCAGGACAAATCTCTCTCACCTGCCAGTCCCACAGCTGCTCAGACCCAACCAAGTAAACACAGAGACTTATATTGCTTACAAACTGTATGGCTGTGGCAGGCTTCTTGCTAACTGTTCTTATATCTTAAATTAATCCATTTCTATAAATCTATACCTTGCCAAGTGGCTCGTGGCTTACCGGCATCTTCACATGCTGCTTGTCATGGCAGTGGCTGGCAGTGTCTTCCTTCCGCCTTCCTGTTCTCTCAGTTCTCCTCTGTTAGTCCCGCCTATACTTCCTTCCTGGCCACTGGCCAATCAGTGTTTTATTTATTGACCAATCAGAGCATTTGACATATAGACCATCCCACAGCATACAAATGGCCGGGTTTAATGGAGGTCTTCAGACATAAGACTCCCATATTACTGAGGAGAATGACTGATTGAACCTTCCTGTTCTGGCGCTAAGTATTTCAGTGACATTCATTTCATGTATAACCATCCTGTGAAATAGACATTGCTGGGACTGGTGAGGTGGCTCAGTGGGTAAAGGCACTCGCTGTTAAGCCTAATGACCCAAGTTCAATCCTTGGGACCCACGTCATGGAAGCAGAGAACTGGCTACAGCAAGTTAGCCTCTGGCCTCCACACACAAGATGTGGCATGCACGTGACACCCACCCACACAGGCCACACTTATGTACAGGCACAAAAGAAAGATAAGTAAATGAAAGAGCAATTTTAAAAAGAAGTAGCTATTATTGCCGCCGACCCATTCTACCCACCAGGAAAGACAATATTGGATATTGCCTCAAGTGAGAGTCTAAGTGATTGGGACTAAGGTCACTTGGACCCAATAGTCATGTGTGTAAGTGTCACACAAAAGTGAATGGAAACCCCCAGCCACAGACAGGAGCCCATACAGAGTTTCTTAGCTTTGACATCCCAAGGTTGCCCTTGGAACTTCATGCAGCTTTTGTGCCTTTAATGTCAATTTATTCATTTTATTCTGGGAATAAATAGTTTTTTAGTTTTCCTTGCTCTCCCTGTACATGAAGAATATTTTCTTCACACACACACACACACACACACACACACACACACACACACACACACAAAAAAAAAAAAAAAAACTTCCACATCCTTTTTTTTTTTTTTTTTTTTTGGTTTTTCGAGACAGGGTTTCTCTGTAGCTTTGCGCCTTTCCTGGGACTCACTTGGTAGCCCAGGCTGGCCTCGAACTCACAGAGATCCGCCTGCCTCTGCCTCCCGAGTGCTGGGATTAAAGGCGTGCGCCACCACCGCCCGGCAACTTCCACATTCTTAAACATGGAAATTAAGCCACACCTATGAAATCTTTTGTTTAACACAGGTTTAAACGCATTTTTTTTTCTTGGAGAAGCCAAATTTAATCATTCCACTTTTTTCTTTCTATCTCTGAACCTGCTGTAGGATAGAGACAGGAGTGTTCGCGTGCTCTCGTATGTAATGTTCCTTTTGTAAAATCTCAGCACCACGTGAGCTTTTCCATCATAACATGGCAGCGCTTGTAGGTGGTCACAGGCTGGGCCCCTGCAACCTTGGCATGGGGATTCTTTACTCTCCCTTCAGGGGATCCAGTCCCATTTACTCAAGTCTACTTGAACATGATCTGTGTGGCTGAGCCTCACACTCTTCGTGAATTTCAGGCCTGTCCAGGTCCCTTTCACATCTTCCAGAGAACTGGCCATGTCGCCTCCATTATTGTCCTTTTCTTCTCCAAGATGAGCAGTCATAGCTGCCGCTGTCTGGGAGGAATTCTCTCTTCTGGTCTATGCATTTGGATCCACAAATCCACACACAACTCTCCACGAATTTCCATAGTTTCCTCTCCTGAGATGTGACCCCTTGCCCAGGAGAGGAGCCACAATGTATCCAAACAGCGGCAAGGACATTTGACGCTGGAGGAGGGAAGCTTGGTTTTCCCAGTTATGTATGCCTACATGCAGCAGATACTGAACACACTTCTCCCTTCTCCAGCCTCTAAACAGCAAACACGTGGGCTCTAAAGCACAGCCCCTGTGTGTTGTACAGAGGGTGTTACTCTCAGGCCACACACTCAGCTATCAGAGACATGGAACTGTATTGTTTAGAACTAAACTGGAAGTTTCTATTTTGAGCTGTATACTACCGAATGGTGGAAGCTGGTCTGGCCACTGGTCCTCTAGCCCCACCCAGTTACCATGGCACCCACACACAGCTGGGTGGGATCACCATCATCTGTGCACCCTGGCACCTGTTGAGAAGTCTGTTGTTCTGTTGGTTCCGTGGTCCTTGTTCCAAGCAGGTCACCACTGGCCCTCTCCTCCTACCTGCACGTCATCATCAGATTTGCCACCGTGATCATATCTCTGCTCAGGTTTTGAGATGCGTTGGCTGTTGGTGGCTCATGCAGGACTTTCTTGCGTAAGAGCTAGGGGGCTTGCTAAGAGCTTCCCTGGTTATTTTTTTCTTTCATTTTCCTTAATTTAATTGCTTAACAAAATACGAGCTCCCTTCTGGATTCCCTGAACTTCATGTGGACGTACGTACACATCCGACTTTTGTTTCCCACGTGTATACAAACACACACACTCACAGAATGTTTTTTTGTCAGGGACCTGCCAAGATCAGACCACTTGTCTCTGCTCTAGTCGGGTGTGGGGGTGTGTTCAGGGTTTACAGTATCACTTACTGGATGTTCTTTCAAAAATTTTGCTTATGGAAAAAAAAAAGCTGTATGCTGCAGGGCTTAGGCTCAAAGTGTGGAAGGCTTGTCTCTGCTTTTCCTATGATTCATCTCTCCTCTCTGGGGCAGAGAATATTGCTGACAGAGTGCAGGGAGTGCTGGGTGTACCAGAGCTTGTGCGGGAGGGAGTAAGGGGAAGTAAGAAACGGGCTGTGGAGCAGAGCGATGCCGACCCAGTTTGACGGTGTTGGGAATTCCAGGTTGCTCTTGGTCTATAGAGCAGGGACGGCACATGCTTGGAACACACAGGATCATCAGGGACAGGCAGAGACCTTCCTCTGCTCTGGGACTGATGGTCACCAAGGCCACTCAGTTTTCATCTCCTAATGAAGAAATGAAGGTGAACCTTCATTTAGAAAGGGGGCCACTTCCCTGTGACCTTTCAATTTCTTTCTTAAAATTGCCCTTGCTTTCTCTGTAAGAGCCCCTTTGTGTCTGCGGCTCTTCATCTGACTCATTATATACTCACTCTGTAATTGAGGGTATGTACCAGATGGCCAAGAAAGCCCTGTGGAAAAACCATGCTCTTGCACTCCACGTGAGGAGCGGTGTATGTGCTGGGTGACTCAACTTTCTTGAACCCTATCCAGATGGCTATGAGTTCCTGGAGATCCTGAAGCAGGTTGCCCGGGACAACACTGACAACCCTGACTTGAGCATCTTGTGGATTGACCCAGATGACTTTCCACTGGTGAGTGGCCCAGGCCAAGGTCCCATCCCTGGTGGTCTTCACCATCCATATTTGAGTTTAGCACAAAGTCTTCAAGCATGAGGGACAGACTGAAATAGTTGATGGTGCTTGAAGAAGCCCAGAGGCCACTGTATATGGAGTGGGTACATATGCTTTTTACACAACATTGAACTTGGCTTCACGTAGTCGTTGCAGTGACCGGACTTACCAGTGTCCTCACTTCTGAGACACCAAGAGGTGACTACTCTTGGAGAGGCCCACCCAGGGGAGATGGGAACATTCCTTCTTTAAGTAACAATATGGCCCCTCTGTGTCACTACCTACCTCTCCCTGAGCCTCCAGAGGCAACCTAAATTATTAGAGAATGGAAGCCAGAAGTGAACACTTTGCAGAGTGAAGAACTTGATGAAGCAAAGAAATGGCCTGTCTGAGGGTAGAGACTGTGCCTGGCTTGTTTGTCACGAGCTCCTTAAGACTCAGCATTGGGTCCAGCCCACGTGGAAGGTACAAGAACTTTACCACCCCAGTGCTAGTCTCTGTCAATGAAGAATAGCAAGAAAGCTTTGATAATTCTTAGTTTTGAGCAAATTACACAGAATGCATGTCACACATGAGCCCAGTAACGATAATAATGGAGGAAGTTACATCCTTTACTATAACGAACATTCTCTATTGGCCAAGTCCAATGCTGCACCAAGAGCCAGGATCCCCAACATCGCATGAGGTGGAACCTGGGTCTCTTCAAGAGCCTCAAAGACTAACACTTAGGTACTGAATTATGTGATTTGTTTGAAGATGTGCTCATAGTCCATTCCCTCAACAACCCTAAAACTAGGTACTGTTGTAACCCCTATCCCACTGAGAAAGGGCAGCACTTGGCAGTTAAACCTAGCAGATGTGGAAGCCCCACCAAGATACATAGTGAAGTCAAAGCTTGGTCTATTGACTGCTTCTGGTAAGGCTAACTGCTGGTAACTATAGAAGTTTGGTTATTCTCTGGCTATGAGTTGCATAGGTTATGACGGGTAAAAATGACTAGACAGAGAAAGCTGACATCAAATCCTATACACATGGAGATTGGGTGAACCAAAGGCAGAGACTTCCATGAGATTTGAGACCAATGGCATAATTCTGGGTAAGCATAAGAAAGCCATGGCCATTTAAGCATACAAGATTGCTTTGTTGATTTGCTTTCTGCTGGGTGTATTTCCAGTTTACCTGTACTGTTTCATTATGCAAACTTGTAAATGACCTGCCATTCTTTTGGCCAGTTCTGCATTTACCTTGGTTCTTGCAAAGCAAAGGCATTTCTAATTTCCAGATCCACGAACACCCAAGTCCATGTCAGTCCGTGCATTTACTAGAGAGACCTCTATCCCTGAACATCTCTGTTTCCCTAGCTTCATGGACTTCACTAGTTCCATTAGCCTGCCCCAGCCAGAGATTTGTCCAGATGGAGCCCTCACTGGGCTGAAGAAACCTGGCTTGTGTTTGCATTTTATGCCAAGTTACAGCATATCAATGTTTTCCCAGCCATCTCATGTGACAGAGAGGCACAAGATAAGGCTTTTAAGAATGGAACACTTAAAGGGAGGTAGAAAGAAATGGCTCTTTCATTATCCACAAACTATCAATGAGTTATAGTTTGGGGATTGCCCTCAGCCATCTTTGTGATAGTCTCCCTGAGAGCTGTGGAAGCATTTATGTTCTATGTTGTCACAGCTAGTGCCGTGGCATCATTTATTAATGCTTAAAGTGCTTTAGGGCTGGAGCCAGCCTTGGATTTCCTGTGTCCACAACTGCTTTAAAGGCTTTCAGCCAATCACAATCTGGTTACTACGGTAGGCTGGCAGGTGAATCCAGCCACAGGGAGAGCCCTCCACCCATTGTCTAACCTCGCCTTTTTGTTGCTGCAGCTTGTTGCTTACTGGGAGAAGACTTTCAAGATTGACCTGTTCAAGCCACAGATTGGTGTGGTGAATGTAACAGACGTGAGTATCCCCATCAGGGCCTGAGTATCCCCATCAGGGCCTGGCCAGGCAGTCTCGGCCACCCTGCTGGCTGTCATGCAGCCCTAACTATGAGATCACTAAGGAGTCTGCAGCACCAAGTGGAACTCTTGGGTCTTTCCTAAACTCTGGGAGCTTGATTGTATTCACTTCCCAAGCCAAATAACAAGGCCTTCGTATGCAAGCAACTCATGTCTAGAGCTATCATTGCCTAAGAGAGATGGAGAGGTTGATGTCCAGAAGCCCATGCTGGCAGCCACCCACGCAGTCAGAAGACCCTGATGACAGAAGAGAAGCCCCATGGCAGAAGTTTAAGCACAGACAAACTCAGGGTGGGAAGGGCTATTGAGATGAACTGATCGAGTGGGAAGAAGTATAGACTCAGTCCAGACATCTGATACAAAACAAGACAGAAATAGGGCAGATTCAACAAGGGGAACAGTGAGGAGAAGGAGCCATAATAGAGGGCCCACTGCAGCCCAGTGCAGGCAGGGGCTATTGTGAATGGGGCCCATTAACAACATCTCTTTGCCACCCTGTGGTAAGCGTTCTATCAGTCTCTACATTTCTTGACTTTTGAAATTTGAATGAAGAGTAATTCATTCATTAATTTTTGTGTGCGCACATACATATTCTCTTGGGTAGTAGAATAGATATTTTATTTTTGCTGTTATTGAAACAGAATACTTCATAAGACTGTTCTGCATCATTTGGCATTTCCATTTGTCTGTTTGTACATAAATATCCCTGATGGGTGTGAGAGACTTGGAGGCCCACTCCGCACAGTTACTTGGAAACCCCCAGCCAGTCTCAACCTCCACCCCTTCACTCATTGGTTCATTCTGTCCATCACTGCAGGCAGACAGCGTCTGGATGGAGATCCCAGATGATGACGACCTGCCAACAGCCGAGGAGCTCGAAGACTGGATTGAGGATGTGCTTTCTGGAAAGATCAACACTGAAGATGATGACGACGAAGAAGACGATGATGGTGATGGTGACAATGATGATGACGATGATGATGATGATGATGATAATTCTGATGATGAGGATAATGATGACAGCGATGATGAGGACGATGACGATGACGAATAGCTCCAGACCTGGGTGAATCTGATGAGAATGACGTCACAACTACCCCCTACCATACAGACGACCCAAGAGGGCAGCAAGCAGCGGTGCCCACACCCGGTCAGCTCTTTTCCTTTCTCCAGCATCTTTTTCTAGTCGGTTCTTGGCAGGAGTGGTACATTTCAGTGAATGCCTTCCCAAACCCAGCAGTCCCACTCAGCAGGGACAGGAGGGGGGTGATTCCCATGCTGACTTCTTTTAAGCATCCTGAGGAACAAACAGCTCTTGTTCTTTACTAGACCATCAGGGGTCATGGAATAATGGGAGTCTGGGGATAGTATCTCCTGACACCTCTACTCAAGTTTACTTACTGTCTTTGATTCTGATAGTGACAGAAATGACAGCTTGCTATTAGTTCACAAGCAGGGAGTGGACTTCTAATCAAGAGCCCAGGAAAACCACGTGATTATTCAATTCAGCCCCCAAACCTAGAATCTCAGTGAACTCAGACCCAAGCCTTTGGATGACTATTAGGAATGCTTGAAATGTATGGGCATCACCATCATTTTTAGAATATTAGGATGCTGTGTGGGGGTCAATCAACTCTCTGAATGTCCCAACAGTTCAAAAGCCTCATGTATTCACCAGCAGTGAGAGAAGGGAGAGGCTGAAGGATGAAAAGTTTTTCATTTTTCTGATGGAGACAGTTTAGGTCTCTGAAGGGTTTTGCTGGCCGCCTAGTGTGATCTGGGAACTGAATGCCCCTTCTCTGTCCCTGCTAGTGAGCTGTCCCATTCTGAGTTAAAATTGCTTTATCCAATGGTCGATTAACTCCCCATTCATCAGCACTCCCACAGTTGACCAGGGCAGTGATAATTAGAGTTCATGATGCCCTGAGGCACTGAGAAAAAAAAATCCCCAAGTGCCTTTTGAATTGTCTGAAAGCAACATTGTGCTTGGTAGTTTTAGTTGCGAAGTAAGTGTTCTAATTTATTTTTGAAATCTGTTAACATGGAGAACACTCTGTGTGGTTTTGTTTTTGAAACTGGGGCAGTCCTTTTATGGAACAGTAATAAACTGACAGACATTAAACTCATGTTTTGAAAAGATCGAGGCTGTCTTGATAATCCCACCCTGGTCTTTCTGAATTTGTTTTTGCCTGGCTCCAGTTCTACCCCTCTGCTCCTGTCTGCCCTTCCATGATTAGCATTTCAGTGTCTCTCAGTTCTGGACACATTTCCATGCCATCAACTACCACCTATGTTAATGGCCTCCACTAAGGGTCTCTAACCTCGATCTTCGGGCTTTGACCTTGGTCTCTGATCCACTTGCATTCAAACTCAACACAGCAAAGCCTGAACCCCATCCCCTTTCCCCTCTAAACTTGTCCTTTTTTATGAAGTCCCAGCTTGGATGAGTGCTTTTGCTATTGATGTCATTGTCTAGGTGACTGAAAGTGCCTTGTTCACGTTTGCTCCCACCACATGGGGTGCCCACCTGTGGTCACAGCACTTATCCAAATGATAACACATCGCATAGCCACCCTCCCACTAAATACAGTCTTTAAGAGACAAGACACGGCCTTTTCTCTGTAGTCCTGTCACAACGCAGATGGTATTTATTGAGTCCACTTGTGAATAACTGGTCAGCCAAAGCAGCTGTCATTGCCTACCATGTTGGATAGTAGAGTTTACAGGGTGTTTTACGTGCCCTGCACTGTGTTAGGTAGCTTCTGTTGCCATAACAAAACACTTGAGAGAAACAACTTAAAAGGAGGGATTTCACTTCAGCTCACAACATCAGAGGTTTTAGTTTAAGATCTGCTGTCTCTGTTGCCTGGGGCCGGAGTTGAGGAGGAATATCACCGTGGCAGCATGTAGAGCAGAGGAAACTGCTTGCCTGGCTGCACCAGGAACCCCGGAGAAAGAGGGAGGGGCCAGGACTCCAAACTATCCTTTAGTGCCCTCCCTGCAGTGACCTACTTTCCTACCTTCTAATAGTCCATGGAGCTATGAACTCAACGGACCAAGATGGGTTAGTACCCTCAGGATCCAGTTACCTTTCAAAGCCCCACCTCTGAATATAGCTGTACCGAGGATCAAACTTTCAATCTTTGAAGATATTCACATGCATATCATAGCAGAATGCCACAGTCTGGGTGGCGTAAGCAGCAAAAGTCTGCCTTCCCACAGTTTAGTCCAATGTCAAGTTGCCAACTGTGTTGCATCCTGCTGAGGGCTCTTTTCCTGGCTTCTTGTCTTGTTTGCACATGACAGATAGATATAGATAGATGATAGATAGATAGATAGATAGATAGATAGATAGATAGATGATAGATAGATAGATAGATAGATAGATAGATAGATAGATAGATAGACAGACAGACAGAAAAGAGTTCTGATTCTCCTCTAGAAGGATGCCTGTCCTGTCAAACTAAGGTCTTAACATTGTGATTTTATTTGACTTTGATTGTCATCTGAAAGGGCCTTGTCTTCAAATGCAGTTATACCAGGAGCCAACACTTCAATATGATTCTGGGGGTGCCCAATTCAGTCTAGAATGCAGGGCCTCAATATAATTTTCTCCCCCCACAAAACTAAGCAGGCTGTGCTGTGTTCTATCCACCCAAGCCCAGTCATACCTCAAGCAAACTCGTGGGGAGGTGATTGTCCCAAGAAATCTCTGATGCTAAACTTTCAAGTAGCCAAAGAGTGGGGGTCCATTGGAAAAATGGTCTGTTTCTCAGCCCAGGAAGGTGTGGTGTTCTCAGAGACCTAGAAACCTGTGTGCAGCTGAAACTGTGCTCTGGTGTTCCTGTGTTAGGACCCCTGGGAGTCCAGCTGTTTCTGCCCAGCCAGGGCTGTTCAGTGAGTAGTCTGAACCCTCCGAGCAGATACATACTGAGTGTTTTGTTCCACGGCCAGAGCACAACGCTGTGTGCTTTCCATATGCTATCACAGCTCATCCTTACAGCAGATTAGAAGATGTGTCTGGTTATTTTCCTTAATACAGTAGGACACAGAAGGCTCCAGCAACTTCTCAGAATTACACACACTCTTTGAAGGAGCATAGCTACAACTGTATTTTTTAACTTAAAAGGATTTACATTAAGGATCAAAACACTGCATTCTTTTTCCCTCAGAGCATGTCTGAAGACAGACTCAAGTGAATTTCCAATAACTGCTTTTATTGCTTGAATCCATTTATCTTCCCGTTCTGAGTTCATAATCAACTCAAATGATACTAGAAATGTGGCCTAATTAAAAACACAAGATCTGCTATTCCATTAAAAAGAAAGAGCATGATTCAGTGTGTAATCTGGAACAAAGAATCCCTTTCAGAGTATGTTCATTAAACACCATCCCAGAACTTGAAAAGAGCTCGTCTTTTCTAGAAGAGATTGTGAACTCTCCGACATTCATGGCCGTCACCCTGGGAGGAGTCACTATTGTATCGTGTGCAGACTACATTTCATCTCACTTTCATTGGCATATGTTCCTCATCTATAAGTCTGATAACAACCTGGGGCAAAACTGGCTTATTTCTACTCTGTCCAAGTTTGGGTAGGCAAGTAATGAAGCTTGTGACAACTTTATAACCATGATACTAATCAACTTTAATGGCTATTATCCCTATTAAGAATGCACAAAATAAACCTAGTGATTATTCAAAGTGAATCTTAACCTAAAAGCTCTTGGCAGCATGGATTGGCTTAGGACAGCAACCAGCCACAGAAACAGGACCATTGACTCTCCTTGGCTCAGTGTGGACATTTGTGGTGCAGGATGATCTTTTTCCTCAGGGGATTGAAGTCCTTCAGGAACACAGTCTTCCTTTGTGAGGGACAGGGCAGCAGCCTGGGAATGAGCATGGAAGTGTCATGCCATCTGGGAATGGAACGACCACAGCCACCTAGCAGACCTAAATATTTTCAAGATGGATTAAGAAGAGTCTTTAGAATCAATGTGATATTTTTATAATCTGAATTCCTTAGTAATAACTTCAAATCTGAGTGGTAACTCTGAGACCCTTACTGACCCCTAACACTCCTAAAAAATCACGTGGGATTAGTCTGTGGTCGATGATTTAGTGTTGAGTGAACTTCCCGCTCTCATTCAATTACTCACTCATTAAAAAGTTATAGACTTTTTGATAGTCTATAGACCAACCGACTCCTAAACTTTGTTGCACGTAGATTAGGGACTGCAAGAATGAGCAGGTAAATGGGGCAGCTGAGCTGAGAAGCAGTAGAAGACAAATGTTTGAAGTACCCAGCTTCAGTTCTGAGAAATACATCTTCATATTTCTTGAAGTATTATGAAGTCTGAGAGCACAGAAACACATTTGGACATGGACCCAGGCAGCAGAGCCAAAAGTCAACAATCATTTCGGATTATCTATGGCAACATGAGCCTGTGTAACTAGAGGATGCTCACACGACATACTGGCACTACTGGTGAATGACATCCTGCCTGTGCACTCTCCCGCCAGCAGGTCCTGCCTCTTGCTCTGGGCTTTACCTACTGCTGTCCTGATGTCTTTACTCCACTTCTTTAATATGATAGTCTATCATCTGAGACCCTCAAAACTCCTCCACATTCTACAGCTACACAGAAAAGAGCCGCTGACTCCTGTCTACATGTGGCTTTAATTTTTTTTCCCCCAGTGGGGTTTGCTCGTGAACTTATGAACTGTGAACATCTGGGCTAGTGGCCCAAGGAAATAGCTTATCATTAATCTATACGATAAGTATCTTCAAATCAATTGCTTTCTCTGATCCCTGTTCATGCAACTGGTAGGAATGTGTGCGCTATCAACATTCCATGCAAGTGAAGGGTAGCTGAGTGTGGAGGTGGCAAGCATCAACATCTCTTCATCAGATAATCTAGTTCCCCCATCTAAAGCAGGTCAATCATTTAAAACCAATTACCAAGCACAATTGACTGTGCACCTCTCACCCCTATCCAGGGTGTGACAGCATTTCCCACTCTCCTTGCCTCAAATGTTTTTTACTTGATTTACTCAAAAGTTGCCTTCCTCTCCCAGTTTTAGAGTCACCCCAGGATTTCATCTTTTGCTATGTGTTCATTTAGAATTTTCCTCCCCATAAAATGACCAGTGGCTGACTGTTCATTTTCATCACGGTGATCATTGCCCTTCATCGACCTTCCTCCTCTCTCATAATCCACTTGATTTTCATAGAAACTCGACACTGTCAGAAAATCAAATCAAGATTTAAAAAAGAAAAATGTTCCCTGCAAAGAAAGCCAAGCTTAAAACTGAAATCGTCACATCAGAAAGGGAGACGGTACACAATTTGGGATCTCAGTTTATCTTCCAAGTTCATAACTTATGTAGTGTGTAAAATGTTTTATCGTTAATTAGGAAGGGATGATGATGTCAGTGGAGGACCCAAAGGAAAACCACACAACGTTAGCTACTAGGTAGTGTGTCTGTGATAGACACCAGCCCTGTCACCAACATCGTGATGAGAGGGCATTTCACAGAACAAACCTTAGAGAAACAAAGGGACTCGGACACATGGCTACGAGTCACATCGTTCACTCATTTACATACTCAGAAATGTCCAGTTAGAGCACATGACCCATTCAGTGTGGCAGCATACACTTAGGCACTGGCATTGTCTTAGTTAGGGTTCCTATTGCTGTGAAGAGACACCATGACCACGGCAACTCTTACGAAGGAAAACATTCCACTGGCGCAGCTTACAATTTAGAGGTTTAGTCTGTTATTTAGTCTGTTATTATCATGGTGTGACAGGGTGGCGTGCATGTAGACATGGTGCTCAAGAAGTAGCCGAATGTCCTACGTCTTACAGACAACAGGAAGTGGACTGAGATTCTGGGTGATATCTTGAGCATATATGAGACCTCAACACCCCCCTTCATAGTGACACACTTCCTCCAACAAGACCATATCTACTCCAACAAGGCCACACCTCCTAATAGCGCCACTCCCTTTGAGGGTCATTTCCTTTCAAACCACCACAGTCATATAGACACATGGTATCTGGTGACTCTAAGTACACAGGCTAGGCAGAAACCGCCCTTGACTACAAAGTACAACACTAACTAT